CTAAACTTTGCCAGTGTTGGTTATTTTAAATTTTCATCACTAAGGGTACTGGTGTATGACTAAAAGCGAAACACGTTAGTCGTTATGTATGGTCATTACATAACTGGATCAATGGACATAACAAATTTGGATAGGGTTGGCAATACAGTCAGCATTTCAGCATTTGCTGACCATTCGGAAACCTGATATCCATATCAGACTAAATCAAGGATGCTGATAGCTAAATTAAGAGTGCTGATAGCTAAATCAAGGGTGCTGATAGCTAAATGAAGAATGCTGATAGCTAAATCAAGAATGATGATAGCTAAATCAAAGATTCTGATATCTAAATCAAGGATGCTGATAGCTAAATCAAGAATGCTGATAGCTAAATCAGGGATACTGATAGCTAAATCAAGAATGCTGATAGCAAAATCAAGGATGCTGATAGCTAAATCAAGAATGCTGATAGCAAAATCAAGAATGCTGATGGCAAAATCAAGAGTGCTGATAGCTAAATCAAGGATGCTGATAGCTAAATCAAGAATGCTGATAGCTAAATCAGGGATGCTGATAGCTAAATCAAGGATACTGATAGCTAAATGAAGAATGCTGATAGCAAAATCAAGAATGCTGATGGCAAAATCAAGAGTGCTGATGGCAAAATCAAGAGTGCTGATGGCAAAATCAAGAGTGCTGATAGCTAAATCAAGGATGCTGATAGCTAAATCAAGAATGCTGATAGCTAAATCAGGGATGCTGATAGCTAAATCAAGGATACTGATAGCTAAATGAAGAATGCTGATAGCAAAATCAAGGGTGCTGATAGCTAAATCAAGAATGCTGATAGCTAAATCAAGGATGCTGATAGCTAAATCAAGGATGATGTTGTCTAAATCAAGGGTACTGATAGCTAAATCAAGAATGCTGATAGCTAAATCAAGGATGCTGATAGCTAAATCAAGAATGCTGATAGCTAAATCAAGGATGCTGATAGCTAAATCAAGGATGATGTTGTCTAAATCAAGGGTACTGATAGCTAATTCAGGGATGCTGATAGCTAAATCAAGGGTGCTGATAGCTAAATCAAGGATACTGATAGCTAAATCAAGGATACTGCTAGCTAAATCAAGGATACTGATAGCTAAATCAAAGATTCTGC